TGTTACCCAGGTGCGGTCGGTCCCGACTTTTACGTAATAAACTCCTTTTGCTGCGAATTCCCTCCTGTGAAGAACGGGTCTGTTTGGTATCCATCCGTAAATAGTCCTTGTTAAGAAATGAGGAATGAAGAAGAGAGGAGTTCACTAGCAAACATTGGGATACATATAGCAAACCCTAAAAGGGTTGTATGACAAAATTAGAAGAAAGAAAGAGAAATGAACTAGCAAGAATGAGGATACAAATAGCAAACCCTAGAAGGGCTGTACTCGCTATAGAGCACCCCACTACAGGCTAGAGCATAAGATAGCATTCTGACACACCCCCATAGCCAAAGTGGGGTGTAATCAGCAGAGCAAGCAAGGCAGTACAAGCTCAGGGTGGATCACAATGTCACCACACATTCTGAGCACAAGTTCAAGAAGCAATAGTTTAGAGTTCACAATTATAAGCAAAGCTAGTGGTAGTCACAACGGGCAAGCGAGGAGGAGGAGAGAGAGTGAGAGGAGAGGAGATAGGAGGCGTCGGCTGAAGCTGCAGACACACGGGCAACAGGAGGCAGACTGGCACAGCGGCTACCGGACGAAGTCCCCGGAATACAGGAGTAACAGGCCCCGCGGCTAAAGTAGCGGCAGACGAGCAACGGACCCACGGGCGGCTGGCACAGCTGGCTACGACTGGGCTACCGGACAAAGTCCCCGGAATACAGGTGCTGCTGGCGACACGATGGTAACCTCCATACAGCTTCCCCAAACTATCCCACTCCCCCTGGCACACACCCGCTGCTACACCGCTAGCTCCACTCCCACGCACCCCCCTTAAACCCTAAACCCCAGTCTCCCACACATCCACCCCCCTCAGCGACAGCTGCAGCAGTGGGAGACGAAGGAGGAGGAGGAGCAAAGGGAGGAATGAAGAAGTGCCACCCCCATACTCGCCACCCCCTACTTGCCACCCCCAAACCCTAACACAGGCAGGGTGGGATGGCGGGTAGGCAGGGTGGGATGGCGGCGCTCGCCCCCCTCCCCCAGGTAAGCCCCCGAGGGAGCCGCGACGGGCGACGGGAAAAGGGGCCGGGGCGCAAGTAGGGCGGCGGGGCCGCGAAGTTGGGGCGGCGGGGCCGCGAAAGAAGGGCGGCGGGGCCGCGAAGTGGGGCAGCGGGGTCGCGCACGTAGGGTGGCGGGGCCGCGAAATGGGGCAGCGGGGCCGCAAAGTGAGGCGGCGGGGCCGCGACATGAGGCAGCGGGGCCACGAAGTGGGGCGGCGGGGCCGCGACGGGTCCCCGTCGCCCGTCGCGGCGCCTCTAGAGGGCGACGCGGCGAACGACGGGGCAGAAGCCCGCCGCGCGCCTCGGGGCGCACAGCGGGCAGAGAACCGCCGCGCGCCTCGGGGCGCACGACGGGCAGAAAACCACCGCGCGCCTCGGGGCGCACGGCGGGAAGAAAAAGCGCCGCACGCCAGGGGGCGTGCGGCTCAACGAGTAGTGGAAGATAGTTGCAGCGGAAGCGAGGAGGTGGTAACCCACCCAGAGGATTGATCCAAGGGGATCGACCTGCTCTGATAGCATGTTAAAGTTTAGAAGAAAGAAGAGGATTGAACTAGCAAGAACGAGGATACAAATAGCAAACCCTAGAAGGGTTGTACTCGCTATAGAGCACCCCACAACAGGCTAGAGCATAAGATAACATTCGGACAACCTCTCCGTAAATCTATCATCGAAAAGACCCGTGCTGTTCGCAGTTGGTCTATCAGTTCGTCGACGTGGGGAATGGGTATCGCGACTTGACTGTTACCCTGTTCAGTGCCCTGTAATCAATGCACATGTGGAACCCTCCGTCTTTTTTCGATGTGAACAGTATCAGTGCGGCGAACGCTGACGAGCTCAGTCAGATGAATTTCTTTTCTAACACGTAATCTAACTGCTTCCTCAGTTCGTCGAGCTCGGGTTGCGTCAGTCTGAACTGTCGTTGTACAGTTGTCTGTGCCCCCGAACCTAACTCTATTCGATGGTCGTGTGCTCGCTGAGGCGGCAGTCCCTCCGGTAAATCGTCGGAAAAAATCCCCGAGTACCGTTTCAATAGTTCCTGTAGTTCGGGCGGTACCGCTGTTTCTTGAAATCGCTCGGCTATTCTACTTCCTCTACTGCTGCAATGTCTACTGCGTACACGTCAGCTCCAGCGGCGATAGCCCGTTTCATTGTGATGGCGTTGACGTGGATCGTTGAAGACTCAGGCGACTGCCAGCGAGGTAGTTCTACCTAGATACCGCTACTTCGCACAGTGCAGCTACCCGTCGTCCAGTCAATTCACGGGTTATACCGTCGTAGCCAATCACGTCCCAGTAAAATGTCATGCCCATCCAGTGTCGTCACAAGCTTTTTCTGTGTAAACCCGAAGTTCCCCCCGCAGCGGACTTTTACTCTTTTCACCTTGTCACGTATGGCCAGCGGCGTGCCGTCAACTAAGCGTGCATCTATCTCCGGTAAACACCGGCTAAGTGTCAGTTGCAGTTTCCGTGTGGTCGCGGTATTAACTAAACTGTGACTTGCTCCTCCGTCTATAAAAATCTTCAATGCTACTCCCTGTATTTTCCCGTGGATCAGTACTGGGCATTCCGTCGCTGTACTCTCCTTATTCGTCCGAGCCCGATCGATGGCGTGAATCGGTACTAAGACTCGGTGAGGGTCGGTGGGGTTGGGTGAGCAGGCAGTCCCTTCAGTAGTTAGCCCGATTCCTAATGACTGCTGGCGTTTCCCTGCCTTGGAGACTCCCTCCTCAGCTCCTCTGGGCACTCACTCTTGCGATGGCCCGCCCTATTGCAAGCAAAGCAGCGCCCCTTAATCGGCGCGGCAGTTGCATTTGTCGCAACGGCATATATGGTGGCGTGCTCGATCGGTCCCCGAGGGCGATGCCCGTAGTAGGACCCCGGTCTCGGACGGCGCAGAATGTCGATTTTCTCGGCGAGCGCGAGAATCTCGTTGAGGTTCGAGAGTTCGCGTAGCATGATTTCGTGCGAGATGTCCGGCTTCAGCCCTCCGACGTAACGGTCCACCCGCTCCGCTTCGTGCATGTAGCCGACTTGCTCGCATAATGCGAGAAAACCGCTCGTGTAGTCTTGAACCGATTCGAGCTGCCACCAAGTACGCAGTCTTTGACGCGCCGAAATAGAAGCCGCGATCGGCTCGAAGCGCGCTCGAAGCCCTGCGCACCACGCGTCCCACGTGCTGTACTGGGCGGTTTCGCAGAATGAACTCCATGTGACGGTTGGGCCCGTGGGACTTTCCTCTTGCGACGCTGGCTCGTAGGCGCGTGGTGACGTCAGATGACTCGCCACCAGTCCATGGCGGGGCCCCTCCGCAGCGAGACGGCATATCGGATTTTCGTTGCGTCCGACTCGATGTAGTTCGCGTCGAAAAAGACGTTCATCGTGAAGACCCACAATTGAACCGTCGGACCTCCACGCTGGCTTGGGTCGAAACAGGGCGGGCGCTGCGGCTTGAGTGGCATTGGTGCCATATTGGCGTGGTCTCCACTTGTCGCCGCAAACTCCACGTGCCGACGGGCTTCGCGAGGCTCCCGCGGGCTTGGCCGGCCCTGTTCCTCTCCATGCCAGGCATAGATTGAGCGGCGCCATCACTGGCTGCGCCTGAGCGCTGTCCCACGCTATTGTTTTGTGTCGGTGTGCCTGATGAAATGACGATCGGCTCCTCCGATTGTGCGGGTGCATTTGCATGTGCGTGTGGTGGTGCTGGAGCATTCACCGTTGATTGCTGATGAGCGGATTCGCGTTCCGCTGTAAGTGTCGCTATTTCGAGCGCCGAGTCTTCGATTTGGCGCATGAGACGGTCGAGTTGCTCCTGCGTCAGTGTCGCGAGAGTGAATTCGGCCATGGCGGAGGTGTCGGGCAAGCTCAGCGAGAGCCTCTGTCGTGGCAGTGCGTGCTTACGAGATAGCACTACGAGCGGCGGTGCTTGTTTCGCTGAGAGACGTCTACTCCCCCCCCCCCCCCCCCCCCCCCCCAAATTGAGATACCGTAGTGGGGAAGCGAAGGTGTGGGTGCGGTCCGAGAAGAGATCGTAGGCTCTGAATACCAAGTGTTACGAGTGCAATTGAGTGAACGAACGAGAATTGCACTATCGAAGCAAGAGTATAATGAGCGAAGGCATGAGCGAAGAATATATTGTGAAACTACAGTGATAGCGGTAATGCGTGAAAATGGGGTGCGCGAAGGGCCTGACACCGAGGTTGGGAAATGACGAGTCGGAGGTCCGGAGCGCGGGTTACCAACCGAACCGTGAGGTTGGGTCGCATCGTGAACATTGGCGGGAATAGTGTCGAGGCGAATGTCGCGAGTGGTAACGGATTACTGTTGGGTGCTATTGGCGGGAACAGTGGTGTACGCGCTGAGCAGGGACACGAAGGAAAAGGATTTTTCCTTACAATCTGATAGTTTCTACTACACCCACAAGGAACATGACTGTTTAACTTGTAAAACCTACAAAGACAACCGTCACATAATACATGAAACCAGGACACAAACATGATTTTCAAGTGAATTCCTTTACCCATTCCCTACTCCTAGAATACCCTTTGCTATCGCACACTCTCCCAATTCCCCGCTACAATACGCTTCGACTCATCGTCGTTCATCACTCCTCGCCTCCCACAACCGAAGCTTCGGTCCAAGAGAGAGCGCTCGGGAGAGGGCTGAGGGGTGGAAATGGCCGGCAAAGAGATGGCAGAGGTTGCCGAAGTGGCAGTGGCGCATGAGAGAAACGAGATCAGGGGTGAGCTGGGGGTGTTGAGGGGGGTGTGGGGGGGGGTAAGGGGGGGGAAAAGGGCAGGGGGTAAGGGTTGAATGGCCGAGGAGTGGAAGTGGCTGGCAAAGAGATGGCAAAGATTGCCGAAGTGGCAGTGGCGCATGAGAGACACAAGATCCGGGGTGAGCTGGGGGGAATGGGAGGATATGGGGCTGGGGGGGAAAAGGGGGCAGGGAGTAAGAGTTAGATGGCAGATGGGTGGAAATGGCCGGCAAAGAGATGGCAGAGATTGCCGAAGTGGCAGTGGCGCATGAGAGACACGAGGTCGGGGGTTAGCTGGGGGGGGATGGGGAATGGGGAATGGGGAAGGGGATGAGGGCACACGTAACGGTTGGGAAGGGTAGAGTAGAATGGATGTTACAGGGGGGTGGAAGTGACCGGCAAAGAGATGGCAGAGTTGCCGAAGTGGCAGTGGCGCATGAGAGACACGAGATCAGAGGTGGGCTGGAGTGCGAGGAAAGGGAAGAAAGGGTATGAGTCGACTCAAAGTCACCTCGTGGTGCAGAGTTGGGCTGAATGCAGTAAACAGAGCGAGAACAAGAGGGAGAATAAGCCAACGAGTCTCATCTCACCTCTGAATAGAGCGACAACATGAGGTAGCTCATCTCACCTCTGTTTCATCTCACCTCTGTAGCGTTGTACACATAAGGATGCCCCGAGTTAGGCTGCGTCCACCAATCCTCAAACACCAAACTCCAATTCGCCAGATCCTCCCCGCTCCCCCGCAACCCAACGCCCCCTCCCCCCGCCGCCTCCCCCCACGCACTCCGCCTCCCCCCTCCCCCCATCCCCCCCCCTTCCCCTATCCCCGCCCAAAGCTCGTCCACAAAAGGGCCGAAGTCCCCCACAGGGGGAAGGTCTACGAGAATGGGGACGATGGAGGGGAGGTAGTGCTCTGAGGGGAAGCAGGCTGGGAAGACCCCTCGCACCGGCACACAGCAGGCCGCGAATTTGTCATAAAACTTGCTGTCTGATATGACCTGGAGGATGGTGAGGGGGTGTATGGAGTGGGAGGGGGAAACGGAGGTTTGAGGGAATCCCAGAGAAACTTCACGCACGCCACTAATTTTTTAGTCGACTCAAAAGTCACCTCGTTTCGTTACAATGGCACACAACACATTTTTGAGCTAACTCAGAAGGTTTGAGGGAATCTCAGAGAAACTCCACGCACGCCACTGTCCACACACACTCTTGACATACTCTTTCCACACAATCTCTTTCACATCCTCTTCACACACTCTCTTTCACATTCTCTCCACATACTCTCTTCTCTTCACACACTCTCTTTCACATGCACTTCACACACTCTCTTTCACATGCACTTCACACACTCTCTTTCACATGCACTTCACACACTCTCTTTCACATGCACTTCACACACTCTCTTTCGCAATCTCTTCACACACTCTCTTCACACACTCTCTTCACACATTCTCTTCACACCTGCACGGCAAGCCCTCGTGTGAGACCAATCACACCCCCCTCTTCCTCCACTGCTCTGCACTCAACATAGGCTCAAAGCAGTGGGGGGGATTTTGCACGCCTGCATGCTCACACACGCATTTCACTCTCACTCTTCACACGTGCAGGAACCATTTTCACACACACCTGCACGGCAAGCCTCCGAGTGAGTCCAATCCACGCCCCTCCCTTCCTCCACTGCTCCACACTCAGCATCGGCTCAAAGCAATTGGGGTTGAAACGATCCCTCCCGCCCTCCCCTGACACGTCGTTCGACGGGATGTAACTACGCGGCGCAGATGGAACCATACCGGCGAGATGTAACCCAGAGGAAGTCAGTGACTTGGGTTGAAACAAGGTGGAGGGAGAGGAGAGGGCGGCGGAGTGATGAGGAGAGATGAGGTACGAGTAAACGAAAGTGAAGTTATGGATAGGGATGCAGAGCTCGCATATAGTCACGAACCGCTCGTTAGAAAAGTCCAAAAGCGCGTTCGCTAGCAGACGACGCATGCCGTCCACTGTGCTCATGTGTACAGTCTTCGAATCGGCCGAAGCGGGCTCGCCAGGGGACCTGTTCGGCACGAATCTACCCCGGAAAATAGGGGGAAATAACGATTTATCTATCTTCGTCTCGTCAGTTAACACATAGACTGACACTCGGTCCTCATGCCCCTCTAACCATCTGGCCCACAGCGGGGCAAACGGCATCGTTCCCGCGCTGTAAAACAGTAGCGCTACTTTCGCAGGCCCTATACTGCGCCTTCCCCCTCCGCCCGCGCCTCCGCCTTCCCCCTCCGCTCCAACGCCCGCGCCAGCTCCGCGCGGGCGGGTGCGGCGGCGCAGGGGGACCATGGATGCGCGCCAGAAGAGCTCCTCGTCCCCCATGTCGTGCGTCAGCGGGAGGAAACGGACAGGAAGCTTCGCGGGAGTCGCGCTCTCGTGCTCCGCGTCGTCCGCGGCCACGTCAGCATCGGAATCGTCGTCGTCAGCAGCGGCCGCTGCTGCAGCAGCTGTTAGGTGGCCGCTGTTGCTGCCTGCGGTACGAGGCTTTTCCTCCAAAAGCTTCGCCCAGTTAGAGGCTTCGTTATTGTCATCATCGTTATGGAAATTGTCATTTCCGCCCCCTTTCCCGCCATCCGTGTCCAGCCCGCTTTCTGCGATTTCGTCACCAGAACCAGTCACCCGCCGCGGACCAGCGACGACAGCGCTTCCGTCGCCGGAGTCACCTGATTGGTCGGCGGCTCCTGAAGTTCCTGCGACGCTACTTGTGCCTCTCAGGAGAGAATCTGGTGAGGAGAAACCCAACGACGTTGACGGTGACGTTAACTGAACCTGCCGGCCTGAGTCTGTTACTAACCCGCGACTAGTTCTAATGTCATGGCTGTCGTTGATTTCGTTATCCGCACCAGCAGCGGCGCGGGACACCGTTCGGCGGAAAATGACGGATACGAAGAAAAGCGCGGCGCATGTTGTGACTATAGCAATGGTAGACAACGGCACGCGCCGCCGCTTCTGCTGGCGGATCGACCGCGCAGCGGACTTAGTACCGGGTGGCTTCATGACGACATGGCCTCCGTCCAACTTGCCTGAAAGAACGAAATTGCGAGAAAAAAAAAAGAAGCTTGAATTGCGTCACGCTTGAAATTGAACAGAAACTGGCGAGTCCCTGCCAGGCGTGAACCCGCTTGTTCGCAGTGGTTTCAAGGAACGTATGCTAGTGGTTCTCCGAAGAAGGGAGTAACTGGTTGAAGAGTAGCCTCCAGTCAGATCGCCTTCCCGGCAGAGCAATCCCAAGAGAAGGCCAGCAACGGGATCATCGAGTCGGCTTGCCTGCCATTCAAACTTTCGAGTCCATGAAGAGCGACAATAGAAAGCGCTAGTCGTACAGAAGTGTAGGTGTAGCAGCTGCAACGCCGCATTCTCTAGTCCCACTAACGCGTACACTGTGCTAGGGTGTGCTGCCATCGATGATTCGTGGCTGTGGGATTGGTCAAGGCAGTGTGCCTTTCGAAGTCCGCCTGGATCTCCTGGCTTCGCGGGGAGCAGAGATGAGAGTCTCACCTCCCTTAGCGGAACCGCTGTGTGGCTGTAACGCGGGGTCGCACACCCGCGGCACACGTCCATCCGCTAGGAGCAAAGAGTGGACAATGTGCTGGAAGGATGAAGCACCAATTGCTACAGTGCAATATGATAGACATCAATTGCACCTAAATCTTACACCATTAGAAGTTCCCATAAATAGCAGTACAGCATGTATCAAGTTAGAAGAGGTAAGTCTACATCATCCAGAGCTTAAGACGCTCTGGTAAAAAAGGATACACTAACACAGATGCAGACATCCACACAAAAATCAAAGCTGTTAACCGGCCATAATTTCATAGGCATATCACATGAAGATTGTCTGAAAACGACACTCTCCGCTTCAATGATCCCGCTGGATTCGCTGTAGAGCAGCCAGCGTCAGCTCCGCACTGACGTTGCACCCCAAAGCCGTCCATTGAGGCTCGACGGCCGTCAATCGAAGGGGAGTGCTTGAGAGCACTCCGGAGCGGCGATGACAAAGGAGTTCCCAAATATGACGCATAAAGAGGGGATAGCGGGGGTGGCAAAAACTGGGGTGATGACTGTAATGGGATAAACACTTGTAGATTTGCGAGCGGTGGCATCTGTTGGGGATTGTAGCAGGCCTGGATGTCTGACGTGCTGGAATCAGCCGACAGAGACCTGAAAGAAAAAGCTGCGTTGGAATGAGCAGCGTGCGCTGCAGCCCTTATTGAGGAGTCTTGTAGCGATGAAATTGTGTGCTGTCCTTGGGGCGAAAGTGGCGGCAAACCAAATCCGGCCGGTCGATCTGATTGGCTGGAGCTTGCGGAGTGCGAGCGAGCGGAAAATGGGCCAAGAGGGGGTTGTGACTGTAACGGGAACGCTGTGCTGCTGGGTGAAGGTGGCACAATCGAGAGAGCAACGGAAGCAGGCTTGCCGTTGGAAAAACCACCGGCACCAGCAGCAATGGTAGCAGCGACAGCAGCAGCAACAGCAGCACCAGCGCCGGAAGCAGCAGTTGCAGGAACAGAAGTAACAGGAGCGCCAGGACCAGGACAGGGAACATTTCTCGCCACGCCCTTACCACCGCTCCAGCTTTGGCTGCGGGACACGCCCCTACCGGCCTCTATCTCACCGCCGCAGCTTGCGACTCCAGCAGCAACACCACCACGACTGTCACCGCCAGTGAAGCTCTGCCTCCGGTAATCACCGCTGCTGCTGCTGCTGCTGCTGCTGCTGCTGGCACGCGGGGTGACTACCACTCCGGCAGCAACACCGCCACGACTGTCACCGCCAGTAAAGCTCTGCCTCCGGTAATCACCGCTGCAGCTGCTGCCACGCAAGGCGACTACCGCTCCGGATGCCGAATGCGGTGAGATGGAGTGCGGTGACGCAGGGGTCGATGAGATGCAGTGCGGTGACGGGAGGTGTGGTGCGGTGCCGGGGCGATGGGGCAGGTGGCGCCAGTTGACGAACCCCACGCGACTGCTCAACCTGACCACAGCAATGGGACTCGTCACTGTCGATCCCCCACTGGGCGCAAAGGCCCTGGTAGCGCTTCCTGTGGTGGTGCTGTTGCTGCTGATGCTGTGGCTGCTGCTGCTGCTGCTGTTGCTCGTAGCAGGGGTGGTTAGTAGTGGACCAGTCGGAGTGGACGGAGCAGTAGCGCCCCGGGTGCTAGTACCAAAGCGCCTCAGGCTATAGCGAGTACAGGCAGCACAGGGAGCCGCACCGAAGGGAGTAACAAGGGAGAGCAGCCCCCCGCGCGCAAACTCCGCGAGCTGCGCCGCAGCTGCCTGTGGCGCTGCGAGCTGCCGCGCAGCAGCGTGTGCCTCCGCGGCTGGTTTGTGAAGAAGATTCTGCCGCTTGCGGCGCTGAGGCTTTTGCGAGATGGCGCCACGTGGATAGTCCGCGTGACGAGCCGCCGCATCCGCCGGCGAGATCTGCTGCGCACCGAGCGGTGGGGAGGGGGGGGCGATCGTGAGTGAAGAGAGTGGGCTGCGCGAAGGCTTGTCATACGCGGCGCCAGCAGACGCCGCTCGCGGAAACGCCGCGGCTGCCAGCGATGCAGCTGCCGCTGCTGCGAAGTAAGACTGCAACGCCGCGTCGTTCGCATGATTGGCGCTCCCGTCGGCGACGGAGAGGGGAGCGGATGACGCGGAGGACGACTTTCGGAACTGTCGCCCGTGCGACGACCATGCGATCGTTGGCGACGTCGCCGTCGTCACAATTGCTGGTACTACCGTCGCCTGCCACGGCGTCTCGAAGGAGAAATGATCGTCATTCGCGCCGTCAATGCCGCAGCGACCGTCCAAATCAGCTACGTCAACTACATCATCGGCGGCGCCGCCGCCGTGATCGTCAACTTGAAGGGACACGTCAAGGCGCAGCGAACCGCACTTCAGTTTTCGTCGCGTCGCCAACGTTCCCGCGCGAACTAGAACGACGGGGGCCTCACAAGCGGCGCCTTCAGCGGCGGTTTTCGCGGCGGCGGGGGATTGAGGTGTGGCGTCACTGCTGACGGCGACAGCAGCGGAAAAAGCCGCATCATGGAGGATTGCCTTCAGCGAATCCTTGGCGTCACTGTCGCGCAGCGAAGAGTCGCGCGAGTAGGACGTCGCGACAGCAGCCACGTGTCGTGCCGCGCAGGACGCCATGCTTTCGATTATCCCGCGTCTGAAGAGATCACGACTCCGAACCGCGCCAGCGGGCCTGATTTGCTGTAAGGGAAAAGGGGGAAAGGGGGTGTGCCCTGATACCTAAGTAATACTATAGGTCAGGTTTCGAGAAGCCTTTCGCAGAATTAAGCGGCCGAAATTTTGCTTCTGCACGAAGGTCACTGAGCGTTCTGGAGCTGGGATGAAGTTGAAGTAATGAAAAAAGGATTCGGGATGAATGCAACTGAATCTGCAAATCACTTGGATGGACGAAATTGACATGACCTGTTGCGGCTCTGTGCGGGGTTTAGGACCTGTTGGCGGCGTTCCGAGGTTTCAACACCATCAGTCCCAGCTAGTCCCGTGTAGTATGCACGCACTTGGCTGCCGCAGGTCCGACCTGCAGTTGAGAACGGCCAATGAGTCATTGCAGTGGTGGGGATGAGTGACTATGGAAGATCGAAGCGCGTAAAGCGTTTCCTTGCCAGCTCTCAAGTGTGCGACGGTTTCGTCTGCAGTTGTTACACCTAGTCCGCGGTATTTTAACCGGCGCTATCTTAACAACGCGAGGGTACTTCTCCTTTATCAAACTTATTTAGACGGGTTGTTTCGAACTTTACGAGGGTAGAATCTAGCATTCCCTTCGCGAGATGACAGCAGAAAAAACTCAGTGATTGCTGAGTGTGACAAATGTCAATCCGTCTATCTTGGAGCCCTAAGTGTGAGTTCCTTAGACGGAAGTGCTTTCGGCTGCAGAATCGTAGCCTCGATGACTCTGGGTGCTAATAACATTACCGAGAAACCAACAAAGAGGGTTTGAAAGAACAAAGTTCACCTGGTTAAAATACCGCGGACTAGGTGTAACGGCCAAAGGTCAGCGAGGCCAGCTAATTAATCGATACTGTACACCAAGTTGTGAGCTAGAGGTTTCAGGGTGGTGAAGGGAACGAGAGCCCGAATTGTGTGGATACAATTAGGGCGTTAGGGTTGCGGCTCGAATAGGATCTTAGGGTGGGATATTGAAGGTGAGTTATTGCTGAGTTATTTGCTAACAAAATACGAACCGAAGAGGAAACGTCTAGCCCGCTGGTAGTCTAAACAAAATTGAATCTCTGTCATCGACGTGCCGCATTGGAGGGCTCTTCGAGCCTGGGTTTAGGGCCAAACCGTTGCAATGTGGTGGAAGTGTGGTCAAGTCGAGTTGAGAATTCATCGAGCTACACAGTAAATACTGATCTGGTGAGGCCTGAGCCGTATCGTAGAGGACAGGTGACGAGTTACAGTGCAATCATGCGATCCGAACCTGTGGGTCGGATTTGGATGTTCTGTACAGATTGCTTTTGGAGTTGCTGGCAAACAAAACTGTTCGCTTAGCGAATGAGCGGAAGCCCGTCCACATTTTAACACGACAGGTGGGAAGGTGAGCAGCCAGCAGCCGTACTTGTGTAGTAGGGCGCATTCTTTTTGGAAATTTAGTGGAATCGCAAACTTTTCGCTTTTCAGCTTGAGACTTTTCTGCCCAACCTCGTCCTCATCCAGACAAACACGAAGACCCAACCAAGGCCTCTCCCCACAGGCCAAGCCATTGGTAGGGGCAAACACTAGAGCATTTTACACATATTTGGGTTCAACACATTACAAATCGGTTTGGTAAGATAGCCGTCTGAACAACAGACCCAGAAAATTCCGCGTTGGGTGTACGACGCTCCGAAGCGAGACAAAATCAAAGGCGAAACGTACGGGGGGTCTGAACTGAAGTGTAGCAGTAGGTGGCTCCCATGCCATGATCCCACTAACGCGTACAAGTTGTTACAGTGTGCGTCAAAAACCAGAAGAGGAATTCAACAACATTTTATCAGGTCAATTGCCCATAAGGTACCTGTATGTAGAATTTCAACAGAGTTGGATCTACCACATCCTGAGCTCAAATGCTCTGGCAAAAACTTAGACGTAAACATCCACCTCAACTGTATTGAGCAACTAGAATCATGGGCATATCACATGGAGATTGTCTGAAAATGACACTCTCCGCTTCAGTGACCCCCTCTCATTCTCAGTAGAGCAGCCAGCATCGGCTCCACACTGACGTTGCACTTCAAAATCTTCCATCGATGCCCTATAAATATCCATGGAAGGCGAGTACTTAAGAGCACTCCGGAGTGGCGATGACAAAGGCGTGCCCGAGGGTGACGCGAAAAGAGGGGATAAGGGGGGTGACAAAAGCTGGGGTGATGACTGTAACGGGATGAACACTTGTAGATTTCCGGGCTGTGGCAACTGTTTGGGATTGTAGCAGGTCTGGCTGTTCAGCAGACTGGATTCAGCAGACAGAGACCTGATAGAAAAACCTGTGTTGGAATGCACAGCATGCGCTGGTGACTTTGTTGAGGATGCTTGTAACGAGAGCCCTTGGGGCGAGAGTGGCGGCAGGCCAAATCCAGCCGGTCGGTCCAATTGGCTGGAGCCTGCAGAGTGCGAGCGAACAGAGAATGCACCAAGAGGAGATCGTGACTGCATTGGGAGGGGGTTGCTGCTGGGTGAAGGTGGCACAACTGAAAGAGCGACGGAAGCGAGCTTGCTGTTGGAAAAATCGCCACCAGCAGCAGTGGCAGAGGAAGCAGCGACGGGAGTAGCAGGAACACGAGCACCAGTGCAGTAAGCGTCTCTCGCGCCCTTGCTACTGCTCCAGCTTTGGCTCCGAGACATCCCCCTACCAATCTCTGTCGCAATGCCATGGCTTGCCGTTGCAGCAACATCATGGGTGTCTCGGATGGTGAAGGTCTGCCGCCGGCTAACGCCACTGCCGCTGCCACACTTGGCGACCATGGACGCCGAGCGCGGGGAAATGGAGTGCGGTGACGCGGGCCGCGGTGAGACGGAGTGCGGTGACGGGGGTTGTGGTGCGGTGCCGGGGCGATGCGGCAGGTGGCGCCAGTTGACGAACCCCACGCGACTGCTCAGCCTGACCACAGCAATGGGACTCGTCACTGCGGATCCCCCGCTAGGAACAAGGGCCCTGGTCGTGCGGCTTCCTGCAGCGCTGCTGCTGCTGCTCATAGAAGGAGTGGTTAGCAGGCCCGTTGGAGTGGAGGGAGCAGTGGAACCCCTACGGGTACTGCCAGAGCGCCTCAGGCCAGCACCAGTAGAGGCAAAATGAGAAGTTAGAATAGCTGGGGAGAGCTGCCCCCCGCGCGCCAGCTCGGCGAGCTGCCGCGCAGCTGCCTGTGGCGCAGCGGCCTGCCGCCGCGCAGCTGGCTCTGCCGCCGGGTGATCATGACGATTCTGTTTACTGCGGCGCCGGGGCTTGTGCGAGGTGGTGGTGCCACGTGGATCGTCCGCGTGACGAGCCGCGTCCGGCGAGAGCTGCTGAGCGCCGAGCGGAGGGGAGGAAGGGGAGATTATCGTGAGGGAAGCCAGCGGGCTTCGCGGGGGCTTGGTAAACGCAGCGCCAGCAGACGCGGCTCGCGGAAACGCCGCCGCTGCCAGCAATGCCGCTGCTGCTGCCGAGAATTCTGCATGTCGTGACGCGGCGTCGTTCGCAGGAGTGGCGCTTCCGTCGGCCACGGAGAGGGGAGCGGAGGACGCGGAGGACGACTTGCGGAACTGTCGCCCACACAACGACCATGCGATCGTGGGCGACGTCGCGGTCGTCACAGCCGCCGCCATCGCCTGCGACACCGTCTCAAAGGAGAAGTGCTCGTCAGCGGCGCCGGGAATGCCGCGGCGGCCGGCCAAATCATCGGCGCCGTCCAGTTTGGCGTCGTAATCGTCAACTTCAAGGGACACGTTGAGGCGCAGCGAGCCGCATTTGAGTTTCCTCCGCGTCGCCAACGTTCCCGAGGAGAGTAAGGGGGTCTTACAAGCGGCGGCGGCTTCAGCAACGGTTTCAAAGGCGGATTCAGCGGCGGATTTAGCGGCGGAGGAGGCGTCAAGTGCGGATTCGCTGCTAACGGCGGCAGCAGCGGTAAAAGCCGCCTCGACCATGTGTTCCAGCGAATCTTTGGCGTCGCTGTCGCGCAGCGAAGAGACGCGCCGCGTGTCAGTCACGACAGGCAGCGTCGTGCGTCGCGCCGCGCATGATGCCATGCTTTCGATAACTCTGCAGTGCGTTGCGTGACAGGGGCGGTGGAAGGTTTAGATCACGGCTCCGAGCAGCGCTGCGAGCCCAACTCGAGTAGTAGTCAGAAGGCCAGCTTTCGCAGATTGTTGAGACGCAAATTCGCGTTCTGTAGGGGTCACTAAACAGCCTCGAGTTTATAGTTGAAGAATGAAGTTTGAAGCCGAGAAATACGCTAAGGAAATGGTTCGGGGGATGAAAGGGAATGGATTTCAATGGCTACTTCAAGTCGCGGGATTGGGTCATGAACGTATTGATTGATAACCATGAGCCATTACGGCTCTCTGTCTAATAGACGGGTTTTTGTCGGAGTTCTGAAGTTTGGACTCCATCAGTTCCAGATACACAGTGCAGTTCGAGTGATGTAGGTCACTCGTTCGCTTCCACAGGGGAGCAGTTGCTGTGAGGGCCGAGCCGACTATGGGAGGGAGATCAAAGCGCATAAAGACGTTTCACTGCCAGCTCTCGAGCGTGCGACGGTTTCGTCGGCAGAGGTTGGGTGGGACCGCCCAGTTGTCAACAAGGCAGCTACGTACACCCTCATTCTTGCTAGACTGGCATCCGGTATATTGACCAAAACGCTTAGTGTGACCGCACCGGACCCAAGAAGGTCCTATTAGATGAGTTATAGTGACAATTTGACCCAGGGCGTTAAATCAAGGTTTTCTACGTTCTACGATGGTACTGTTGTTTTCAAAGCGGTCGGGACGGTTATTCAACATTAATGGTTGTTTACACCCCAAGGCGTGTTTCAAACACTCGTGCGACTTTGCCCGCAACCGATTTATCTCACCAGACCGCTACGTCCAAACACTGTAGACAGTGCTTCCGCCGGTGAGATAGGTGAGAAAACTTGTGTATAGTACACGTGTAATCTTAACTG